CCAATGACAGTAAATTGTGAATTATCAGAGTGTGAGGACACGGAAAGTGAAAAACATTATCCACGAAGCAAAAGACAATAATCATGAAAAGGCAGAACAAGTGAGGCGTTGTTGCAAGAAATAGTAGCATGTAATTTTGTTAGGGTAGTTTTAAGTTAGAATTATATGGTGTTTGTCGGGGCGACAACTGGAAGGGCCGGGCATTGTCACATACCGCGGAATTTGGGTTAGTTTATCATTACTTAATATTCCGTAACAAAAACTATGTTTCGAAAAGAGGTCTCGGCTATTGTGTCATGTTGTAATTGTAACGCGGAAACACCATCAACATCGTCGAGTCAGCTTCTCGAACCATAATAAATACCCGGAATATTAGGTAGTCGGGAGTCTAGCCGAGTTTACCTTTTGGAGTTTAATTCGCGTGTGTGTAGTCAAGATCGTGATTAGTGTAACCGAGTGTGACAAGTGTCCTGATAGGATTATGACTGCCCCTAAAAAGTAATTAAACCTTCTAGTCATTTTTTAAATAAACCTTTTATACAAAACCCCATGACTTTCAATCCCACCCTGTGACAATATTTGATTTTTTGTTCCAAGATATTTTTAACTAAATAAACATGATCTGACTTGTAAAAATTAATGAATAATAAATAATAAATCGACGGTAAAACAAAACCTACGCATAATCAAACTGAGAGTCAAGCAAAATCACCGTGGGCAACGGTAGTACACCTAAAGAAAAAGACTCTACCGGATGCTTTAAGAAGAACTAACAACACTTATGCAGTCGGAAATAGAAACCCCAATCGAGAAAAAATCAAGAATGAAATTATTGTTGGGAAAAAAGCTATCTCAACAGGACTACGTTACACGGTTGTCAAGGGGCACAACAGTAGATAACTTTAAGTCGTATTTAATAAAAGATCTACCGGAAGTCACCTGTTAACTCCTGGAGAACCAAGATGATACAGACTTGCCAAGGTTTAAAGTCACCATAAACCACACGCTACTCTCACATATTTATGTACTGCCCTTTTAAAAAAGCATGCTGCTTACGAAATTATACTTGCTGTGCTGGCTTGTGCATCACTATCAAACATAGGTATAGGGAATATTAATACAGATCGAAGCAGAATTAAATTTTCCTACATTTAACGAAGAAAAAATTGGGGCGTTTCATTTACAAAATTTAAACTTAGGTATAGGGAAGACTAATGAAAACAGCCTGTATAATATTTTTCGATAGATGTATATAGGAAACTTTTATCACCTGTTTAAATTTGTAAGAATAAAAACGGAACAACCTGTATACGTGCTATAAACCAAGCAGTCTAATTTCTTTTTTTTTTGAGTAATCGCACACAAAAGGTAAAAAAAACGAAAATTTATCTGATCAGCTGCCCCTAAATATCAGGGTTCGTTAGGGATCAATCTTGGGACCTCTATTATTCTTAATTTTTGTCAACGATCTTCCTAAGGCAGTAACCTTTAGGGAGACAATAATTTTTGCAGACGACACGACAGTAAGTATAAAAGGTTCAAATAGAAATGAGTTAATTACTAAAAACAAAAGTGTGAGCTAAAAGCATCTCCTTGATGCAACAGCAACGGTCTTGGTATCAATAGTTATAAGTATAAAACACTTATATTTACAATGAAAAATAACACTTTTCAGTCTACTATATTTCTAGGTGCAACAATCGGTACCAAAATATTATGGCATGATCATGGTGCAACCCTGCCACCACAGTTAATAAGGGTATCTTCATTCTTAGAAATCTAAACAAACATGTGACAAAAGAAATATTAATTACTGCATACTATGGTATTATTGACAGTCTAATTAACCACTACGGTCTTTTACTATGGGGCATTCTAGTATAAAGCATAAAATTTTCTCACTTCAAAGGCGTGCCAGTTGATTATTTGCTGGCCTGCCATATAAAGCAAATTGTAGACAAGCCTTTAAACTATATGCTTCACATTTTAACTGCCGTTTCATTATTTATTTACCATTTTTTATTCTACAATAAAAATAGTATGTCCAAATTTTTGTTAAATAGAGATTTAAATTGCAAAGACAAATTTTGTTAAAATGCGGCTAGACTAAAAAACATTCAAACAGGTAGCCGATACTACTGCATCAATTTTTTTAACGTATGTCATACGGAGTCAGGCGCCTGGACTCACGTATATTTAAAAAAAAAGTTAAAGAAATGCTGGTGGCTCATGCATTCTACAATTTTGATATAATAATTTTGATGAATATTATGTTGGTATGACAAGAATAATTAATCTTAACTGTTTTTTCTCTGTATTATTGTACTGTTCAGTATTATATATTTATATTTTGTATATTTTACWGTATGCGTCTTCATTGTGATTCTATGTATTATTTAGCTTGTGTATAACTTAATGTTTTAAAAACACCAAATAAAATAAAATGAAATGAAAATGAAACAATTAAATTAAGTAATTCTAAAAAACTAGTTTCTATAGTGTCGAGTTTCTGTCAGATTCATTCGAATTAAATTTAGAATTAATTAAAGGTTTATAAACACAGCAGACAGTAAAAGTAAATAATTTGTTAGTAAATTTCATAAAATTGACTCGTATAGCAAAGAATAAGTGTTTAGTACTTCAATGTTAAAAATATGTTTTATAGTATTTTACATGTTCCACCCCCTCGTCCATGATTGTGAAAAAGTGTGTTGTTGATAAATACAATTGAGTAGGAGACATTGGAACTTAACCAGGTTTCAGTCAAGGCGATTATGTCAGGATTAGGTATGTTAATTTCAAACAGTAAGTCAATAACTTTGAATGGCATAATAAAAATGCCAATGGAAACATGTGAAAAAAAATAAAAAGTGACATTTTGAATAATTTGGCTGCTTGCGATATTTAAAAAATTCCTATTGAAACAATTGGTCAACGTAATATTGTGCAGTGGAAAAAAGAAAGAAATAACAGATTAGCAACTAGTGATTTTGGAAGAATTATAAATATGAAACAGATTCAGCAAGAATACTGTAAAAAAAAAAAGGTTATACAGGGTTATTTATAAAAATGAAGCAATATTTGAACCTCAAAAACGACCTCTAAAATGATGTAAATTTTTATAAAAACTTGTGTCCTATCTCTACAGATAAGAATTTTACAGCCCTTGGAATTTGGGTATGGAAATTTGTTTTTTTAAATAACTTCGGAACCATTTGACCAAATATTATAAAATTTAGAATAATTACTTGCGAGAACATACTTTTTAAACTAGTAATCACGAAAACCGGATACATCTACTCAATTTCCAATTCCAGCAGTCGCAGGTCACATTTTCTGTGTTTTTTCATTTTTTGGACTCGTTTGGGAATTTGCACTGTAAACGTCAAACGTCATGGGTCAGTGTTGCCAACCCTACAGATTTATCCGTAAAGATACGGATTTTTGAATGCGATCTCCGATTCTCCGATTTAACTATCCAAAAACAATGTGGGGCAGGAATATTAGGCTTTAGACGAATTATTTGTCCAGTTCGATCAAAATGAACAGAGCAAATCTGAAATCCTTTTTTTGAAGTAATTGTATCCACCCCTACATTATCGAGCCACTCTTTCACAAGGTGGGGTTGTGAAAGTGGCAAACTTAAATAAAATGTAAATTAAATTAAAATAATACTGCGTCAGTTTTTACCGGTGAAAACTTCTCTTTGGGTCATCCCTTTTGTAACTTTTCACATAACAATACTTTTTAGGGTGCATTATTTTTGAAAAAAGGTTATGTATATGTCAACAAAAATACCGCACATCTACACGTTATTATGTTGGTTGCATATACTACATAAGGCGATTTCAAGCGAGCTACCGGTAGTAAATAGTATTTACCAATGGAGTTTAAGAGGTTTTTAATGTGTCAGCTTTCGTATGACGTCATTAATGAGCCCTTCTTACGTCATTTTCTATAACCGGTAAATACACTCCTCTGGAGCTGTTTTATTATATAGCTGTCTCTCTCCCACGTAAACATATGACAATCACCTGGCGGGTAGTGAGGTTATTATAAGTGACAACGTTATTAAAAAAATTAATAAAAGTATAAAAGTATGGCACAAAGCAATAATAACGACAAATATAAAGTAAGCATAAATTATGAAGAGGAAGATGTTGAAATCATCGTCGATGATTTAGCAACGGCATCTTTATTTCTAAACGGTAAGCATAAGGCCCCTAAGCACCAATTTATCAGTAATCAAAAAACAACAATTTCATTTCAATTTTCAGATAATGATGCAGCATATAATGTCTTACATCAGTTTAATCCACAAAAATATCCTGCAAAATTGCAATGTACCTCTGACGATGTTGAAATGTGTTCTGCTGTTGGTTGTGATGAATCAAAACCGTCACCGTCAACATTAAACGATGTTATCTGGTCAAAGAAAAAACCAACTCCTCGTGATCTTGAAGCTACTTCTTTGCTGCTGTCGTTAAGACAGCAGTATCAAAAGGAATTTGATGACAAGAAAAATTCAAAAGCATTGAGTGGTCTTGTATGTTATGATAGATTAATAAAAATTGTATACAATTATTATTTATAAAGTAATTTTCTATAATATCAGTAACATCAAAAAATATGTCCCAAAGGCTAACAACAGTAATCAGTAAATGTTCATCATCCATTTTTTGAAGTTAAATTCTGAGATACACTAATATATAACTTGACACGGTGACAGTTGAAAAAAATATTACTACTATTATTTATCAGATGATAATGGTGATAACCGGTTACTGTTTTCTGCTTTCAAGCGGTTCATATGCTACATTGACGTTAATGACAGAATCCCCTAACAAAGGGCAAAACCAAAAATAACCAACGCCCTAACCAAAGTAAATACCGGTAATGCGCTTGAAATCGCCTATACTTTAATCACTATTTTCAATATGGAACCCCGTCTAAAAACAACATGGCCGACTGTTTTCTCACTCTAGTAAAAGTGACAAAAGTGATAAGTGACAAGTACAAGTTCGTGCCAAGTAACTGAGAGAAAATACTTTCGTACCCTATGATGACCGTGTATGCCATACGCAAGTGTTAAGCGAAAATAATTTTATATGTTTTGTATGTAAATGAACGCCATCTGATGTATTAGGTTAAGTTAGCTTTTAAGGCTGTTCGGGAGTGAACGGGCAAGTCGGTTTTCAGCACTTATTATTCTTTTTCAAAAGCAACCAGCAATACACCCTAGACAGGGTCCAAACTCAGTCTTTACCTGCGTTCAGGGGTTGGGTTAGTAAGGGTAATAAATTGTAATAAAAGTAAAAGATCAGTTCGCTAATATTTTTATGCTTTGAATTTGTGGAAGTTGCTCCTGAAATTTCTTAGAAAGCTAAATATTGTTTTGACTTTTGGATCTTAAAAAAAAATCTAATCATAATTATTCTATCTACCTGATAGGCTGTACATATTTACTAATTAGAAAGCTTACAGGTTCCTTTTCAATGGAAATTAAATTTTTGTATGGGGTAACAAGTCATATAATTCCATAAATTAAAATTTTTACAATCGGAAAAATTACAAATTTATGCAATTGTGGACTCAAAATTTTGGACATCAAGTTATGTCAGTTCAAAAAATATCAACGTAACCCACGTTTTAGTGTCATTATGATTGACGTTTGGATCTAAAACTTGAAAGTTTTAGTTGAAATTTATTTTTGGCGTCGATTTTAGTGTCAGCAGTGCAGTACGTTGTTCATATAGTTATTATTTTTTTATCTTATTTTGGTTTATTGTCATTTTTATCCAGCTGTCAGCTTAAAAACTACAAAAATCAAAAAAAAGTTGCACATAAAATTAGTTTTACATTTTATGTCAACCCAATGACAAATCGTCCAAAATTCCATGTCCGTACATCTAAATATCAAATTTACAATGCGCACTATAAAATTCATATTCTTTAGAGGGGCATTTATAATTTTTTTTAGCTAGGTTTTTTTAGTTTAAAAGTGTCCTTGTTTTCCATTACAATTTTTTGTCATTGGCCACATTCATGAGTACCACTAACCGTAGAAAAATGCGAAGTTTTCATTTATAGTTATGTCTTATAAAAAAAAAAGATTGTGATAGGACGAATCATTTTTTATAAAGAACAACGATAAATTAAAAAACAAAAACAATCTCTTCATTGTTTTTTTTCATAGTTGCCCCACTAAAAAACTATTTGTTTTAGACTTCAGGCGAGCATTTGTTTAAAAGTAATAAACTTTTTTGTATAAGCTCTCGAAACAAGCTGAGTCTTTGCTGGACCCAGTAAAATAGTATGAAAAATGGTTATATTAGGTACTCAATATCCAAAATACAGTTTTTCAGAACGATAAGTCAATTTAGTTACTATGGTGGTGAAATTTGTTTAATTAATAATAGGTGTAATTTTGTTGTATAATAAATTATTTTGTCTGATTATTGTTGCTATTTATTAAAACTCTCTCAGAGATAATAAATAATCTTAGATCCCGACACGGCACACATTTTTTCGAAAAAAAATGGTCAGATCTACTAAACACGAGAGATTCGATAGAAGTACAATTCCAACAAAATTAGCTTGTTTTCTCATTTCACGTCAAATGTTTCTGCTTCTAGTTTTCTAATAATAATAACTGAAAATTATTATGCTAAGTACATGATAAAGATGACCATAATCCGTTCTTTGCTTGGGTTGGTACATACAAGGACAGGTAGAGACCCTCGATCCTCCACAGAAGCGGCGCTGGCAACGCCTCTAGTGGTAAAAGCAATGAACTAGGAGGCATTTTTGGGCAAAATATATTTATTAATAATTTAAAAACAACAGTGTTTTATTACATGGTGTTTGTTGAATTTGTTAAAAATTAATATTTTGTAATAAATACCAAAACCCTAAAACGAATCTTTAGGTCTACCGTTAAATATCGTGACTTTTACATCATTCACAGTATCTCAAAAACTAAACACTTTTTTTAAAAAAAAGGCCAACGTATCGGCCTATATAATATTCCTTTAAATTATCTTACAAAAACCAAAATTGATTACTTGAAAAATGACTGAGTAAAGTTATTTTCAAGTTCACCATTTATGCATTTTTGTTCTTTTTTTAAAAGCATTAATTTTTTTTTAAAAATTTCAACGTCTCGGCCTGTAGATTTAAAAAACCTTTATTTTGATGTATAATACATGAAATTATGTTGCATTTTAAGAGAGTAATCTTGTTTTCAATTTACTAGGGTCTCGAATCGTTGGTCGCGGACACACTTAAGGAAACCAATCCCGGAAGGGATTGTTGCCCTGTGGAAGGGTGATGTTGGGAGGTACCAAAATGACGTAATGGGTTTAGACGACGTAACATTAATTAGTGACGTCGTCGACTCGCGCTTCGGGAAGCGCGAGCGACGCGATAAATGGATTAAGAAGAGAGACGATCGTGGTGAGTGGAAGAAGGTGGTACCCCTGAGATCCGACCCGAACCTCGAGGCCTCGAAGAAAAAATGTAAGTACCCTTTTCTTTTTGTAATTAATAAATAAGTTTTGGTTAATTCTAGTGTTTACATTCAACCAACTCCTTACGTCTGGCGTTAATAAATCAAAAAAAAAGGAATAAAATTCGCGCCCCATTTTGAGAAAAAATAAAATAAAAATATTAACAATGCGACATATTTACTCGAAAACATGCAAGCAATTGAAATAATGAAAAAATTACTGATTTTCCACTTCTGTAACCCACATCATCCAGCAAGTAATGGTCTTATAGAGCGTTTCCATTCAACATTTTTAGAAGATTTAAATTTAATCAACAATCATCCAGAATTTAATAAAGATCCAATCTCAACAAAAATTTTATGTGCCACAATAGCTTATAACAAATTCCATTCGCAGTACCACAAAACTAACCCCATTCAATATTTTGAATTTGAACAATGAACAAGAAATCGGAGATATTAATTTAGAACGTGTAATTTTAAACAACCATTTAGAGTCTCATAAAGAAAAACTGTAATTTTAAAGAAATTAACAACCGACTAACAGACAACAAAGAAAAGATTATAACAAAAATAAATAAAGGTAGGGAAAATATACCAGCTCAGCTACCTGACACAGTATTCGTTAAAAGTAATTTTAGATGAAAAGATCGGAATCGATATAAGAAAGAAGAAATTTTAGAAACAAATCCTGAGCGTAAAACGATAAAACCTAAAATCAATAAATCAAAAAGCGGCAGAAAATTTAATAAACTTCATATTGATAATATTACAACAAAGCAAAATAAACCAGTCCCTGCTGTGAATGCCTCCCTTCTAACCGCAAGCAGGCAGGGTCGTAAATTATGGGATTGCAAACTAAACGTAGTTTCAAGATATAGTTATTTATTCGACGAGTTTGAGTGTAAATCGGACTCTTTATTCGACCGAGTAGATTTTTAAACCACGAGTGTAACGAGTGGTTTACCATCCACGAGGTGGAATAAAGCGTCCGATTTACACTCAAACGAGTGGAATACAACATTTTATTCTTCGAATTAGAGTCAACAAGGCTTAAACTTGCTTTAAATCTGTTAAAAATAATTTGACGTTTTGTATTGAGAAATGCCAAACAGTTGTCAAAACTTCCTTAAACAAAAAATGAACAAAAACACGATTAGCCCGTCACACCAAACTTTTATTTTAATAGCACAACGCGTTTCAACCACAAAGTGGTCATCCTCAGGTGAGAATAAAACGGGCTAATCGTGTTTTTGTTCATCGTTTCCATACCAAGAAGATCCAAGAAGAAGAAAAACTTCCTTACACGGGAGAAAAACCGTAAATTTTGTCAGTGTCGAAGAATAAAATTTCTTTAGGCCAATTTAAAGAAAACGCAATGAAAATTTAATTTAACTTGTTTATTAAACTAATTTTAATTAACTTATCGGAAGTGTGAATGTCAGTGGGGATGTATGGTGCGTGAGTGGAAGACTGTTGCAAGAGAACAGGCTGAAATAAGGACAGTTGGAGAATTGGGCCAAAACGTACGAAATGTCTGGGAACACTTAAGGCTCCAGACCCCATGAAAGCTGGCGTATACCTATTACATGTAAATTTATTTCATTGTTTTTAGCCGCAAATTTAGACTTGAAGAGTTTCTTAATGTTTGTAGTGTTTCTTTAAAGGTAAATGGAGACCAGGGAAATATTCCCGCTTTAAATAAGTTAATAGATATTTTTTTATTGAATAAAATGTGAAAATTTTAATTATTAAGATTTTTTGATAACGGTATACCGTATTGAATTTAAAAAATTAACATTTTATAGGTAATTTAAGAATAGAGTGCCCTGATATAATGCGAATTTGATAACTGTTCTTGATTCTTTGATATAAAGCAAAAATTAAATTGAAAGTAGGCAACCAATAATATACACAATCATTTCATAAGCTCCGGTACCTGCTGTAAGATATACGACCGCACCCCAGGGTGTAACCCACAACATGATCGTTTTATTGCGTTTGTTCAAAGCAAAGATATGCATCTGCACCCCTCAAGAAGAGAATTGTTAGTTCATTCCAAAACTTCATTTTTTTTAAATTATTCGTCTATTTAAAAATAAATTAAARTAATAGATAGGTTTAATATAAAAGCACTAAGCCCAATACGTAAACCTAAAAAATAACAAATTAAAATATAATATTTATATTAATTTCACTGAGGACGGTTTTTGCTTAGGAATTATTATATGGGTTGGTCTTTACGGACAGCTCTAATTAGCCAAACTAATTTTGTGTTAAAAATGATTCTAGGTATTTGTGGTGAGACACATATTATGTTTATCGTTATTGTGTTATGTGTATTACAAAAAGTTAAAATAAATGGTCATTTAATTTCAACAATAGTATTTGAACCGACTAATCCATTTGGTGTTGCACCTAAAAATGTTTTTTCTTCATCAACAAAAAAGCTGCATGAGTCCACCTTGAAACCTGTGATTTGCTCAAACTTTTCCTTTGCTTTTTCTTCATTATCAATACCCCATTGTAGTGGTTCAGGCAATTTTTGAAATTTAGATACACCTACACTATATAAGATATTTTTTACAGTATTTGCTGTATTGGTTTTACATTTCATATTTATAATTCTTCCAAAATTACTAGCTGTTAATCTGTTATTTCTTTCTTTATCCCACTGCTCATTATTACGTTAACCAATTGTTTCAATAGGGATTTTTAAAATATCGCAAGCAGCCAAATCATTCAAAAACTCACTTTTTATTTTTTCATATGTTTCCATTGGCATATCTATTATGTCATCAGTCGCACCATAATCGGAATCTGCATACGAATTTTTCTGAATACGAATCTGAATTTCTGAATACGAATTTTTCTTTTATTTAATTTCGCAGCTTGGGTTTCTGTRAAATTATTATCGACATCGTACAAAAGACTTGAAGATAAATTTGCACCTCTTTTTAATGCCTGCATGAACAACTCAAACAAAGAACTATTTAATAAATCAGAATATGCAACTGCATTTGTTATTTGACAAACTGTTTTACAGAAATACGAAGCGCAATTTGAATGATCACCAAAAATATGTGCGAGTCCATTTAAAATATCAGTTTTCTGTTTTTTGATGAATTGTACAGCTTTTGCAAGAATGTTTTTATATTTATGTCGGATCGGGGAGTTTTAGCGATTTCTCTAATTTTGGTAGAAAAATTCAATTTTTTGAATGAAATAATTAGGTCCATAGGGTCTCGCATTACGAATTTTTTTGTAGACATGCATTTTGCATTTCCAGTTGTGGAATGTTCAAAGCTGCGCAAAATTCTGTTAGTTGAGAATAACCAGCACCTATTGCTACTGTGCCACAAACAGCTGCTTCATTTACTTCATTTGTGTGATTTTCTTTTTCGGTACTAAAAGTTCCTATTGCCCCACACATACTACATTTGTATTTAAAAACACTTTTAAACCACAAATGTGTTTCTAGTATGATGTTAATGTTCAAAAAACTACAAGAAAAAATGTTATGTTTTATGTTTTTTAATTCCAAAAATAAATGCCCTATGTCAACAATCCTTCGACCACTTGGAACAAAATTTTGTTCTTGACTAGTTTCTTTGTCAATAATAAACACTTCATCGTCATCGGAACTCGATTCAATTGACTGAAAACTACATTCTGCAAGACTTGATTTACTCAAAATTATGTTTTCCCCACACTTTTTTTATTTAACTTGCGAAAACTCATTTGTCAAAGTGACATTATTGTCAAAAATTATTCCAAAATCAAGACAAAAATGAACTTTTCTTTCTACTGAGCTAGAATCTGAATCTCTGAAATAAGAGAAACTCATGGATGGTGAAATTCTGTTTGTTTACTTTATTTCCATTTTATGACTAAAGGGACCACGCACCAGGTAGAGAAGGTCGGATGATTGGCAGCTGCCACAGAATAAAAATCTAAATAGATTATGCAACTTACAGTACACCAAATCTGAACAGTTCATTCGGTACCCTAGAGCCTTAAGACATTCAGAGTTGTGTCAGAATTTAGTAAATAGTATGCCCAGGCGCCTGACACAGTGTATAGAAAATCAAGGGTACTATACAAAATATTAGTTATATTCAATAAAACAATGTTTCATTGGTTTTGTTTTTTTTTGTTTACCTTTATGTAATATAGGTTTATGTTTTAAACGACAGTATCACGACCGATACAGAAGATATAGGTAACGCCGCAATTCGATCGTAACACTTTTTTTCCCAATTGTAACCTATTGTTTAAAGGATATTTTTATTTCTATAAATGAATCCCGAACAGAAAGTCAGCAATTTTTTATGTTTATCTTTATTCATCATTATTTGAAAATTATAATTTCCACATAATTTTCTTCAAGTTACAAGCTTAACTAACAATCTGCCCCAACTCGAGATTCCTCCTCCCTTACGAGGACAACTAAAATATTTGGCACCGAACCGGAATTACCGTATTGTATTTTATAATTCTAGCCTTAGCCATCTGGTTTATAGTGCAGAAGATAACATTTCGGCGAAGAAACAAACCAAAAAAAGTTCCTGAGCCAGTTGAACTACCCCATGATGCCAAATTTTAGTGTCTCTCCGGAGTTTCGGACTAAGAAGGGAGGAATTATATTAGCAAAATACCCCTGTTTTATGTAGTGCTTAGTATGCACTTTTATGTCATAAATAAATGTAAAATTGTAGAGGGGAGACCCTCTATGTCTCGCCGCGCATTGTAGAAGTTCAAATAATTTTTTTTAAAGTCAACTGGCTATTCAATAACTTAATTTGTGTCAATTGTAACTGAATGGTTGCTTATGAAGAAATTAAATTCAAGTGATGAAAGAGCAAGTAGTATTTAAAAGCCACATAGCACTGAGTTTATTGCAAGCATATAGCGTATCTTCAATAACTTCAATTTGATGATACAAACAATTGGCCAGAATACAGTAAAACAGAGACGTTGCAGATACTGTAAATCTGAGGCTAATTTTATTTGCACCAAATGTAACATGAGATTACATCCAAAAATGTGTTTCAAGGTATTCCATACTTTGTAGAGTCCGTCCGGTATAGAGTCCTTTATGAGAGACGAGTTATTACTTGTTAATTAAAAAAAAAAAACATTGATAATTACTTTTGTTGGTTGTAATATTTAAATTAAATAAAGATTAATTTAAATTTTAAACTTCACACACTAATGGGTTAATTAAAAAACCTCATAATAAACTGGAAAATATTCAGTGTTTAAGAAAAAAAAAATACAAAAAAGAAGGCAGAAACATTATATACGTACTATGATAAAACCTACATATCTCCAAAATTCTCACACATTACCATTGGTTTAGAATGATGGTACAATAAAATTTTAAAGCACTAACATCAAAAAAACAACAATTAAATAATGTACATACACAGGAGGAGCATAGAGTTTTGTACCATGTGGACTAAGATTTCATATAGACAAAAATAAATAATTAGAAACAAATACTTCTTTTTATGCGAATAATCTCTCTATATTAAGAAATGTACAGGTTGATGTCAACGAATAAATGATTTCATACATTAAACAGAGAGCTTAGCAATAACCCTTGGCATGACACCTAGTGGAGAAATCTACGACTATGTGTGAATAAACAAAATAATAGCGTGATTCTTGGTCCATATCAGAGGACTATACAGAGTGTTAAAAAAAAAAAGATTGTAAAATATTTAAGAAGGTATTAGTATGGATAAAATAAACAAAAGTCTTTATAAACATGGCTCCGCAAGGTAACGGTTTCGGAGATATCAAATGTATTTTTTTTACCCCT